TCTTCTTAATGCCTTCATCTTTGAGAAAAGCATGATCCTATTTTCAGAGTCCTAAAATTAGAACATATTTTATGTTGACTTAAAACTTCAAGAAACTCAGGAATTGAAGAAACTCTTAAAATACCAACTTATAAAAATTTAAAAAATAAGGCTGGGGATTTAGCTCAGCGGTTCGGTGGCCTGCTTTGCAAGCACAAGGACCTGAGTTCAATCCCCAGTACCAATAAAAATAAATAAATAAATAAATAATTAAAAAAAAAATTCAAGGCCACTTTTGAGAAGTAGGATAAGGAAGATAAAATGGGTTGCTCAATAACAGGAATTTTCTTCTGTGTGAAAGTCGGTCCTTCATGTAGCATCCACTAAGATGAAAGTTGGTCCCTTTGCCTGGTATTTTAGTTACTTTTCTCCTTGCTGAGACAAAATACCTGACACCCAAAGTTAAAAGAGGAAAGGTCTATTTTGGCTCACAGTTTAGAGGCTTCAGTCCATAACCAGCTGTCTCCAAGGCAGGGTGGCAAATAGCAGAGGGGCATCAAAGAGGAGAAACAGTTCATGGTGGGCAGAAGAGAGCAAAAAGAACAAGCAGCAAGTGACAAGCAACAATCAGCAACACTGTTTCTGTCCTTTATATCCTATCAGGTTACCCACCCTTAGGGTGGGTAGCACTCACAGCCAGGGTAGAGAAGCCTTAATCTTAGCATTGCACCATTAATCAACCCCTGTTTCAAATCCTTGATCCCAACATTACATACACAAGATCCAGCCACCTCTGAAAAGCCCTACCTATGACCAAATGAAGCTTTGGGGGACATCTAGATATAAGCCACAATATTTGGATTAAATGAATAACAAAGTGAATTCTTCAGAAAGGTCATATTTTTAAGTTTAACAATAGAACACAAATTAAGAATAGAGTCATAGGATAAGTACTCAGAAATAAATGCTATACCAGAATCTTTCTTACATCATACCTTAGTGGTCAGATCAAGATTCATCTGATGTTCATAAACAAAACACACTGACCCATGCTGAAAAGTACTGATCTCTCATTTAGGTAGTTACTTGCCAATATACAGTACCATTTTGCTGTTGCTTTTCTGGCTCACCATGAGTTAATTACATATGCTTGTTTCCAGGCCTGTTTATGTTGGTTGTGATAAAAAATTTACACAAAGGAATAAAATACTGTAATGTAAAGAAAGAATGTTGTTTCTCTGGATGAATATTTTGGAAAGGTTCTCAAACCCTGCATGGACAAGACAACTAACGGATCAGGGAAAGAAGTCATCTAATGGTACAATTTTTTGTACTTAGTTTCATTCTGCATCACTCCATCTGAGTTCTTGCCATCTCAGTTTCACATTAAAGAAACCAAACAGGAAAATTGTGACAAGGCGTTAGGGATGAGGTGCAGACAAAAAGATACATCACCCACAGCGAGCAAACCCATACTTAAGGAAAGACATTGGGCCTAAAATACACACACACACACACACACACACACACACACACATTTTTAAGGCTTACTTGAAATGATTATTTTCTCTAACTGACTTTTACGAGATCAACTGACCTGGAACACAGCTTCCCTTCACATGGGTTAAGACAGCTGTTAGGTTATTTTAAGTCCCCACCAGTCTAGGTTCCTAGGCTGTACTTACCTTGAGTGGTACCCGTAGGTCAAATACCTTGGCAGGTACACTGCAAGATCTCTACTTTTATCATTGATCTGATGTAATGTACAAATGCTGTTATCATTTTGACCTAAGGTAATTGCATCTGCATGCATTATATATAAATCCTCTCCCTTTATTGGCCTGAGTGTTCTGTTAGGGATCACAATATATACAAGATTAGAAATAAAATGACAGAGAAGATATTGACAGCTCTGGAGGTGATGAATACCATGATCCAGAATATAGTTATTTTATATTTTCAAATCAGAAAGTAGACAAGATTATGTACACACCTGTACATTTAGTGAAAATAATGTTCACATACAGTGGGGAAAATTTCATTAATTTAGGGAACATTTAGTACTAGATAGCTGTTCCAAGTGTTGATTAACCAAAAGGTCATACTCTAATAATTATGTATTTTCCAGTTTAGACAATGCAATTCATATTTATATATTATACCATTAATGAAATAGAAATGGTTAACAGTTCTGGGAAGCTGAAATATTTTCTCTAGTAAGAGCAAATTTAAATGGTACCAAGTCTGAATTGAAAATACAGTGCAGAATTACTTTATAATCTTTATATGTTAGGCTACCTATTCTGAAATTTTAACAGAAATGCTAGTATAGGAATAAAAAAATCTCAATTTTAATCTTTATACATTTCCCATCCTGACCCTTAAATATAAACATTATATACATTTTCATGAGTACATGATTCAGAACATGATTCTTAAATATTAATCACCCAAAAGATCGACAGCAATGAAATTAGGGAAGCAAAAACATTATGGGGTTAAGTGGTTTCATCCATCTTCCTTGGACTGTGCTTACTCAGGGCATGAGGTAGGGAAAGCCTTGAAAGTAGAAAATAAGAAGACCTGAGTGCTGTGTGGCTTTAGAGTTTATATTTGTTTATCTGGCTTCATCATCCCCATCTGGGAAGTGAGGAGGTGGAAGCGCCCCACCAGGTTTCAGTTCCTTCTCTAATATTCTGTGACATGAGAAAGAACTTTCTAGGCAATATCTCATGCAAT